TTGGTTTTGTAAATGACCGAGTCTGTATCGTAATACAGACATCGGTCACCTAGAAAATCAAGGGCCTCGTAGAGTTTCAATCTGGCTAGTGATGTGGTGAACGCCGCCACGAACACGTTGGTTTTAAAGCTTTTTTCGTAATCCTCTTCCGTGGAGGTCGTCACCACTTCCATCACGTCTTCGGAGCAAATACGTACGGCAGAGATGAACAAGGAGGAGTCGTCCAGGATTCTGAAGAGGTCAGCTGGTTGTGTAATGTAGTGGGTCACGGGCTTGTTTTGGCGTTCGCCAAATTTTCCCCATAAACTTAAAGACAGAAACGAGAAACATTATAAGGTTGTTATTGTTTTCTGCGCGGTCCGCAGATTATAATTTTTGATTTGCCGCTTGCATTTGTCGTTACACAGGTGGAAATAATTCACGATTCTTAAAATGCAGTAAAACACTGTAACTTAAAATTCTTAACTGCAGACTTTTTTAACCATTTTCCATACAAATCCTTGTAAATTTTGATCAGTACTATGCATCGGTAAATGCACGATACAAAACATTTCGCGAACTTAAAAATGCGGTAAAACACTGCAACGTAAATTTTTAACATGCAGACTTTGTCTGAAACTTAAAAATGTATGTGAAAGATAATTACCTGTTTAAAAGCATTTTCGCAATGGATTTGCGGCCAGGATTCTCCTCGATTTGCTCCAGTTGGATCTCTTCTTTCTGCTTGTAATCACGGATGTACTCGGCTTTCTGCTCCGGAGTAACGCAATCACTGGGCCAACCAGCGCTTTCTTGTTTTAATTTTAGCTACGTGTTTACGTAGTCTGCGAAGAGACCCGTGCATCTGTCTTGTTCGGTAAAGTGCCAAACTTCATGTATTTTCAAAATGGTGTAACCTTTTTCCACGGCCTTTTGGAGTTCTGGGGTACACCAGGTACCACGCAGCATTCGCTCTGCTTCACTGTGGGCACACATGTTGCTTCGTTCAAGCAATGGTTTGACCATTTCTTCTTTCAGGCAGGTTCTGCAGAGAGGAAAGGTCAGCTTGCCTCCTTCACGAACGGGTAACACTGGATGGAATAGGCGCTCGGGAGCCAGGATATCTACTTGCGCGATACCAAAGTAGTCATGGATGTTCTGGTTGGCTGGATTCAGGATAATTTCAGGAAAACGTACTGGATAAGTGCCATACTTATTCACCCAATTTTTAAGTTATTGGCTAACAAGCAACAGTGCTTCCTTCCTGATGGACCAACTACCTCACAAGATCAATACTGAGCAGTCCAACAGACTCGAGGAAATTTTACAGCAAATGGACCCTTCGCTACTACAAGGATACAAAAAGTTTATACATGAAGTTATTATACAGGGCATCAGCTATCACGATCTTACTTTTGACACTTTAAACCGTTATTTACTTGACTTGAACAAAGATGTGATGGACAAAATTTGTCAAAAAGCCGTTTCTTACTATGAAATGCATGCACCAGAAAAGATCAAGTCCTTTGGGAATTGAACATGTCTGGGCAATGACGTCAATGGTCTTCTATAAAACTCACGTTGAGTTCTACTCATCAACACATAATACGATGGCTTTTACTGTAATATCCGGTGGCGCAAATGGAGTGGATTTAGAAGCAGAAAAGTTAGCAAGACACTATGGTTTGCAGGTTAATGTTCTCATTCCTCCTTGTCATCCAAGAAAAGCCTCCGTACAACCCTTAACTCATCAACAATTAGCTGAAGCGACTCCTCTCACAACCCAAGTGGCTAAGCGACTCAACAAACAGTTAACCAACTCAATCAGTTTACAGTATATCCACCGAAATTATCATGTGGTGAAACAAGCTTACATGGTGCTGGCATTTACTTGTTTTCAACCAGAAAGAAAATGTTTGCATGGGCGGAACAGGCTGGGCAGTAGAAATGAGTAAAGTCCTCAACAAAGTCGTGTATGTGTATGATGTGGAGCGAAACATTTGGTTTTGGTATAACCCTCACCAAGATTTGTTTTACGCATGTGATGAAATGTCAGAAGAACAGTACGTTTTACCCACACTAGTGAAGAAAGCTGCCATCGTTGGAGTCAGAAACATCTACGATTACCCTGAGGCTCTATTACAATTACAAGAGACTTTTCACCGTAGTTTAAATTTACCCAAACAAGAAGGAAAGGACATAAAGGAACTTTGTCATTCATTTAGTTTATTATCTATTTCATAAGTTTCATCCATATCAAACAGTAGGTACTTTTCGCTTCGCTGCTTTGGAGTGGAACTTTTTGACGTGAGCCACCATTTCGTCTTTTCTTGAAAAGACTTTGTTACAGTGGAAGTCTTGTTTGTAATACAATAATACAATAAAACATTGCTGATTTAAAATCACTGTGTGAAATTTATGTCGATCGACTCGGAAAGGGGCTGATAGTATAGTGGTTTAGTATCCCTGCTTGTCACGCAGGTGACCCGGGTTCAAATCCCGGTCAGCTCGTTCTTTCTAAATCTTGCGATCATAGCAAGGTTTGGAAAGACTTTTTTCTTGACTTTAAAAAACGTTTCAGAACGTTTTTACTCAAAAGTCGGTACTGCGTAGGAAAAAATAATTGAATTCTCTAGGTTCCCCCTTCTATTTATACTCACAGAGACCACACAACCGTATTTGAATCGCAAACTTAATTTATTTACAAGTTGGCGCTACCAAGCAAACCGTAATTTTCCAGAAAAAACTATTTACAATGATAAGAGCAGATCAATATCACCACCGAACCAGTTATACCCATAGGGGGTGGAAACGCGAGTGGCGGGATCGATTACGCGCTTGTCAAAGACAAGCCCGTATTTCTTGACGCGATCAGTCAGTTTAATTTTCTTGGTTTCGTTATTGCGTTCAAAGAAATCAGGAATGGTGATAGCCATCTCTCTGCGCTGCTGAAGGGGTTCGTCCAGTTCTTTCAGGATGTTGTCGCGCATCGTGTAATAGTTTAAGGTCTGCAGTGCTTCATAATTGAGTGTGAACCCACGAACTTTGCACTCGACTTTGCCCTTATTGGTTAGGTAGCCATAATTTTTGGCACCGCTGCTACAGAATTCTACGATGCTGTCGCCTCCCAGCTCGTCTGTAAATTGCCCGAGGTACCTGCCAAGTGGAAGTTTCTCCTGGCCCGGTTTGGTTTTGTAAATGACCGAGTCTGTATCGTAATACAGACATCGGTCACCTAGAAAATCAAGGGCCTCGTAGAGTTTCAATCTGGCTAGTGATGTGGTGAACGCCGCCACGAACACGTTGGTTTTAAAGCTGCGTTCATATTCCTCTTCCGCGGTGGTTGTCACGATCTCCATCACGTCTTCGGAGCAAATACGTATGGCAGAGATAAACAAGGAGGAATCGTCCAGGATTCTGAAGAGGTCAGCTGGTTGTGTAATGCAGTGGGTCACGGGCTTGTTTTGGCGTTCGCCAAATTTTCCCCATAAACTGAAAGACAGAAAAAAGAAAGAACAGTTTGTTATTGTTTTCTGTGCGGTCCGCAGATTATAACTTTTGATTTGTCGCTTGCATTTGTCGTTACACAGGTGGAAATAATTCACGATTCTTAAAATGCAGTAAAACACTGCAACTTAAAATTCTTAACTGCAGACTTTTTTAACCATTTTTCATACAAATCCTTGTAAATTTTGATCAGTACTATGCATCGGTAAATGCACGATACAAAACATTTCGCGAACTTAAAAATGTAATAAAACACTGCAATTTAAATTTAAAAAGTGCAGACTTTTACTGCACTAAAAAAATTTTAATTGTGGAAAAAGTGTGCAACTTAAACTTTAAAACATTTTTCATCGTGGTTTCATCGTGGTTTCGTCGACGATGAATCGCCGTTTCATCGTGGTTTCATTGTTTTATCGGGGTTTCATCGTGGTTTCATCGTAAAAACGTTTTAACATAACTAGTTACCTGTTCAAAAGCATTTTGGCAATAGATTTCCGTCCAGGATTTTCTGCGACATGTTCCAGTTTAATCCCCTCATGTTCCTCGTAGTCTCGGACATACTCTGCTTTCTGCTCCGGAGTAACGCAATCACTGGGCCAGCCAGCGCTCTCCTGTTTTAGTTTGAGCCAGGTGTTGACATACTCTGCAAACAGTCCGGTGCAGCGGTTCTCTGGGGTAAAATGCCAGACTTCATGGATTTTCTGGATTTCGTATCCTTTTTCTACCGCTTTTTGCAGTTCCGGAGTACACCAGGTGCCGTGTAAGATTCGCTGTTCACGTGTGTGACCGCACATATTGCTGCGTTCTAGGAGTGGTTTGGCCATTTCTTCTTTCACGCAGGTTCTGCAGAGAGGGAACGTTAGCTTTCCTCCTTCTCTGACAGGTAACACCGGATGGAATAGGCGCTCGGGAGCCAGGATATCTACTTGCGCGATACCAAAGTAGTCATGGATGTTCTGGTTGGCTGGATTCAGGATAATTTCAGGAAAACGTACTGGATAAGTGCCATACTTATTCACCCAGGGGTACAGTGAGGTGAAATCTTGATAACTAATTTCTTCGTCATCCGCGGCTTTGGCGTACAAGGTCGTAGCGCCCGTTCGGCCACCAAAGAACGCGTCTCGAGGTTCTAATGGAGGGACCATTTCGAAGGTTTTCAGAAAGGACTGCAACTCTGGATCGGTTTTCTGATCTTGCGCGAATTAGGTAATTATTAGGCAATAGGTATTCCATCTTCGAACTTTCAGTTGATTCAAACAATTTCTAAAATAAAACAATCAACAAGCGCGTTTAAAAACACGTTTTTACAGTTCAATCATACAGCATTTGGTCTTCACACTTAACCATGTGCAGTCTTTAATCCAAAACAGGGATTCCACAATCGATCTAAAAACATAACATTTGCTAGGGTAAATTTGTGTGTTGGAAAACAAGGCTTCGATAATCAATAAAACTTCATAGGCGTACCTGAAGTTGACGAGATGTTGTTCGCGAAAACAATTGCAGTCTTCCGTGTACTGTCTTTCTTGCAACTCTATGGCGACTGGATGATGCGGGACTAGAAAGGTCTCTGCCATTAAACCAGGGTTGGGTACAGCTTCTAGAGCGAGTTGCCTTAAGGACTTCATGACTCAAACAGCAAGTAGATCTTTACGTGATTGCGAGCAAAAGCGAATGACTATGCTACATTCACCCAACAGTTTATGCTGTTGTGGCGGCAAACACAATGGTTCGCGGCAAAAACCAATTAACGTTTTGCCGTTCTTTCAAGTAAACCGTTGACCGGCTTCCCTATTCAGTTGAAAGGATGGCGGTCAATCTTTTTCGCTCTTTTTTCAAGTTTGTTGTTGACACAAAACGGTCCATGACCAATACGCAGAAAGACTTCTTTATTTTTGTAAGTTGCTTGCGTCGGGAACCCGCGTAGCGCAAAATGTTACGCGTTAGTACTGACGACCGGTAAATTTTCACGACATTAAAAGTTTACGAGTTCGATTCTCTCTTTCTCTCTCTTTCAGGTCTTTCTTTTTTAAGTTTTTGCTGACGCATGCAAATTTTTGAAAGTCAATTAGCATGCAAAACCACTGAGCGGAACATGATAAAATCTCTCGTTTACTTTTCTAGCATTCGCACACTTTAAAAGATGGCAACAGAGAATGAACTCGGGGAAGCTTGGTTTGGTTGTAAAACTGAAATACAACATCTTAAGGCTGTGTTACAAATCAAAGAAAAACACATTCTCACACTCAAAAAATATATTCGAACACTCAAAAGAAAAGAGATTAAGAGACGAGAGAAGACGCGAACCACTGCTAAGAAAGAAACCGAGAAGAAAGAACTGAAATATGCTGAGAAGACTTTGATGTACGATAATATGATCGGATACGTGAATTGTTTATGCGCTTTTTGTCAGCGCTATCTTAAAACACTGTAATAAAAATACTTCTTAACTTAGAAACAATTGTGTTCTCACTATACACGGCTCAGTGGTGTAATGGTAACACGTCTGACGCTACATCAGAAGATTTCAGGTTCGATCCCTGATTGAGTCGATAAAAAAATTTTCTTTTTGGAAGCAGTACTACTTAAGGTTTGGAAAGACTTTTTTCTTGACTTTAAAAAACGTTTCAGAACGTTTTTACTCAAAAGTCGGTACTGCACATGCGTTCTTGACTGCGCCTGCGCACTGCACAAAGGGGACACTAATTCTCTCCCACATGTCTTCCCTTCAAGGTTCCTCCACTTATATATACTTAATTTATTCATTTGTTCTAATTACAACGACCCCCCCCCGCTCGCCATCTTGAGTTTTTGATGACTTTCTTAGAGGACACTTCGTGACTATGTCATGAAGTACTAGATGCCTCCGGCAGGCTCCTATAACTACTTAACTCGAGACGAATTACCTATGAAATAGGGTGTGTAGGGGGGATGCCTTCTCTGTCCCCTTTATCCTCTCTTACCGTAGATTATTAAAGGCCCATGTTCACCCAAACGGCTTTGCGCGCTTGTGTTTTTGTTTTGAAACAATTCTTTTGTCAAATGCAGTGTTTTGATTGGCTTCCACTTTGAGGAGCGTTGCGTGACGATACTAAAAAACGACTGCGAGGGAGACTACAATTGCAGCTTTTTTCACGCTTGACCGAAGCTTAGAGAGACAGTATCAAAGAAGCCAGTAAGACTTTTAATTCTTTTCCAAATGGAGGAAGATATATCGCCGACTTCGTTAAATGTCACCGCAGAAAGCACCTCAAAATTTAAACTGGTAGTGAATGCATATGGATGCCTTGTTGAGTCCGATGAACACAATGAAGGTCATAAATTACGAAACGTCTAAGCGCCAGGTGAGGTTTTCCTGAAGCCCGATTCGACTGTGAAATGTTTTGATTCCTCAATCTATTATTTTGTGTTAATTCTGAAGCTTTTACGTATGTGTTCTCGAAAGAATAAGCGAGAAGTTGTGTTTGCAAAGCGCCGAATCAGCACTGCATACAGTCTGTAATCGCTGTAATCGCTGTATTACACTTTCTTTAGGTTTTGCTAAGGATTGGTTTGCTAATAAGAGTTCTCGCTACTTTAGAGCCGGCTTTAATCGTGATACGCCAGACGATAAGTTTACGTTAAGAATATCGCTCGCTTCATAGGTTAAATTAAATAAAGCATTGTTCACGTTAGATTGACTCGCTTGTTTTGCTTTCAACTGATTTCAACGGGACCTTTGTTTACAATTAAACATTCGTGGTAGAGGAACTCGGCAAACACGCTGTCTGTAGAATTTACAGCCAAGAGTTTCTTTCCCATCTCTCCAGGGATTAAAAAAACGGATTCACGGAGACGAATGTACTTCGGCGACCCCCGTCGACGCGGTCTTCCAACCATGCTTCCAACCGTTCGTTTCGATGGAGCCGCCATCGAAAGTGCTGCAGTGAAACAAACACTCCCAGAAACAAAAAGGCTCGATACCATTCCAAAATATCCAAAAAGATGTAAAGAAAAATACCAAAAGAACTTGTTGAGACTTTCTTTTAAACCAGATTTAGCAAACTGTAGAAGATTAACAAAGATTGACTTTACACACTAAAGGCAGCGATTTTCAACTACGCGAAATGTTTTTTCTGGAGTACAGGACGCGCAATGCATCTAGGGTGAACATGGGCCTTTAAGGCCTGGAAAAAAAATCAGGCCGAATTTTTTGCAATCGGCAAAAAATTACATTATAGGGGCATTCAATCACGTTTTCTTACCAAACGCAAGGAACTGTGGTTATGCGCGACTCAAAGATTCTGGATGCGCAATGGAGTCGCAAGGAATTGTGGTTAAATGCAAATGGTAGATTTGGGATGCGCAGTAGACTTGCAAGGAATTGTGGCTATGCTCGAATGGGAGATTTAGAATGCGCAGTGGATTACCACGTGCTTTCTTCTTACACTGATTTTCAACTGCAATTTGAATAATTTGCAATCTCGTTAAAGTAAAGAAACAACAGGTCTAATTAGAAAACAAAAAATCTTTGCACGTGCTACATATTTTGCAGTTGGCCGACACTTGTCGACCGAAAATCGAAAGCATTCATGATAAATTTATCATAGTCGATGCCAAGGCAGAATGAAAGAAAAGTTCGAAACCTCTATATATTTGGGTTGGTTTTCGGAAAACAGAACACGCTAAGACCAGCAAAATAGCGTAGCATATGGACAAAGAAATAGCATCACTGCATGGAGCAAGCAGCCGTTTTATATCTTTCAAGGATATTTTCACAAAATGCAATATTTTATAAGTTCGATATTTTGACTATAGTGATTAGGGTTAAGCACTGAAAATACTAACTGAAGCACTAACCAAACTGATTAGGGTTAAGCCCTGAGAATGGTGATTAGGGTTAGCAGTTAGCTTCTATTATGGGTTGGGGTTTACGATATAATATTTGAATAAAATCGCCATCTTGCAGAGAAACCACGGTGGTCTAGTGGTTAGAGTAGTGATATGCAGACCCTATGATCCGGGATCGAATCCGCTCATATTCGAGTGAATATTTTTTTTTCCTTTGAAATTGAAGCGACTTACACTTTGACAACATTTGTCGATCATAAATTAAGTCTCTCACAGTCTATTCTTAATCGATGTATGATAGTTTGGTCTGGCTGGGATTCTTCGGTTTGAAAAAAATTATTGAAAAAAATATCGGACTGCCGGTCATTTAGTGTTTTGAAAATCTTGACCGGTTACCGGCCATATTGCCGCAGCCTTTACTATTTTTCACGCAAATTTTTCTTTGTAATTTTGTAACTTTATTTGATTTACCACAAAATACAAATAACGATAAAACAAGACAGTTACACAAAAGCAAATGAAAGTGGCGAGGAAGCCCAAAAAGAAACCATGAGGCTTATAGAAATTGGGCTCCCTCAGAGTAAAAATAAAGTTAACAGTAACAGTAAGGCCAGAATCGAAAGTAAAATACAATGAAGGTAAGTATAAA